TATAGCCAGTATCCCTTCTGAATTTTCACAAAAATCGAACCACCCTAGTATGCGTATGTATTGTAAATTTTGCACAAGCAGCTACGATTGACGACTGAGTGCAGAATTTGTAATACATACGCATACACAGAATCGGAGTCAGTGTGTTCCTTTGTACGTTTACACGAGCTGTATTAAAACACCACTAGTAACAGAAATCGTCGAGTTTTTTAGTAGATGTCGTATTGGTGGAATCGACAAAGAAAAATCTACGATATTAGCGCTCATTGAAGGCGAAGGAACGCTGTTCGGTGCAGTTATTATTATTAAAATAATGCCAAAATGAACGCTCCAGGCGATGGAATGAAAAACAAATATAATAAAAATAACAAGTAGAGCTTCTATATTGATTATATATGTTTTGTTTTTATTTTTTTAGCTTGATACTTTTCCGCACGCACCTAGTGTGTGGGGGAAAGTATTGTAATAGGTCAAAATTTACGACACCTCAAAAACATTTTTTCTGGACGTTTCTGAGGACACGATAACTGTCCCCCCAAAAAAGTTATTTAAAATCTGACTGTTCATAATGATTGGGAGTCGCGAGGAATAGAAATCATTAGATTTTGAGCGACTTTGGTTGATGGACAAAAATCTCATGTCTGATGTGATACCTTTGAAAAAGTGTCCAATTTTCGTCCAAAAGTCATACTTAATGTAGACTTAAACACTCAAAAATATGTATGGGGGGTTTTCTTGGCACGAGACTATTTTTCACACAAAAAAGAAGATTCTGAAAGTTTGGAGAGATTTCAATCAAAATTAGGGGTACCTCCCATACAAAATTTTCAATTTTTGGCTCAAAACCTTAATTTTGGTTGAAATTTCTCAAAATACTCCGAATATTATTTTCTTTGTGAAAAAAATAACCTGTGCGAAGTTTCACGTCATTAAGCATACAGACATGGCTCCCATACAAAGAACAAATTTTTTGTGACTTTAGTTATGAAAAGTTTTTCAAAAATAATTCTTATGGCAAAATTACCGTCAGACATATTTTTTATAGTGTTTTGTTATAAAGTAAAATACTTTCAAATGTCGTACAAAACATTAAAGTGTGAAAAATCTTTTCTCGAGTACTTCTGATATTAAAGAAAAGAATATTTCAATGCCAAGATTTGAACATATTTTTTGGTCTCGAACTTTACGCCGCTTGAAAGGCTTGAAAAATCGAACAAATATTATTTTGAACTAGCTTAATAAAATACGCATCTACCACCGTGCGGAAAACTTCGTCTTACTCCCGTAAGACTCTTTATTTTTAATAAACTTAGCGGGACTCCTACTTCACTGTCAAACACAAACCATTCAATTATTTTCATTCGCGATGGCATACAAATTGGATACGAAAAAGTGTCTCAAATGGTTTTGGCGAGCTAAGTTCAAAACAAATTCTGCATGTGTCGAAAAATGAACCAATGTGTCTTCGAACCATGTATCGTGTTTCATGGACTTAATATGAATGAAAAGATTCTAGAAAAAGCAAAAAGTCCGGTATTCCCATTTTGAGTGCTCAAACCTTTCAAAACTGTCACCGAGTGCCAAAAACCGGGTAAGTCAAGCAAACATTTATTTTTGGAGATTCTAATGCTTATATCCAAATTTGAACAAAAACAATAGATTTAGACCAAAATTTAGTAAAAATTGGGTGTTTACTTCACCTCATAGCATGTTGCACTGAAAAATTCATCATTTTGGGGAGTAAAACATTCATCGCTATATCGAACCATAAATCAAGTGCAAGTGGTTTCTTTTGCATTGATAATGTAAGGGAACTACTATATAAGGCTAGAGACGTCGACAAACCGAACTTTGATAAGGGGGTGTTTGTAAATTTGGTGCTGAAACGTAAGGTAAAATTCCATTACTTGCTCTATTATCAACCAAATATTGTTGAAATCGATTGAATTCGTTAAGAACTATCTGATTAAAGACAAAATTATACTGTGCAAACAGAAAAAATTACAATAATGGCTCACTTTTTAAAAAATAGCATTTCCATGAAAAAAGGACCATCTTTTTAACTTCACAAAAAGACACCAAATTAATTATTTCTCGTCTATTTTTGGATGTATGTTATAGCGAAGAACCAAAATACTTGAAACGTACAACAATTGGTTGGTTTGAGAGAAAGTTGATAGAAATGGACAAATCGGTCTGCCAAAGCATGATTTTGAAGGTTTGATACATACTTCGACAAATCGAAGAAAAAGACTCATTAAGTGTAATTCAAATGTGCTATTCGATAGCACATGGATAAAGGTTTATACCAATAAAAAATAACTTAATATTGTATGTTTGTTTTTCAAATGGCGGACGTCTGAATTTGTGCAAAGACTTATGATACATAATATAATAGGAAGACAAAGATGGACTGGTTTATTCTGGTCCAAAATGGATGTCAGCCAAGATTTAATACATCGGAGTGGTTCGATTTTGACTTTTTTTGAAAATCAAAAAGAGTACCCCTATAACATCAGAATGATGATCATAGGAACACGAATGAATTTTCACACATTATTTTTTTTAAATTTTGATGAATTTTACTACTTTTGAAATTAAATTAAAATAGTTTTGCGATACAAAAAATATTCGATGCACTTCAAATTAATTATGTATTAGTTAAATAATCAGACCCATTGTAAATAGTTTTTTGGTTAAAATAAACACTGAACAGAAAAAAAACTAAAATTAAATTAACAAGTTAAGAGTTTATTTTAAGGCGTGGAAAAATCGGGAATTTTTCCGGGAAAATAAAACGCTGCCCATCACTTATTATTAAATAATATGAATTAGACATAAATGTTCATAAAAATAAAAATCTTTGAATATTTTATTATGCGGTTTTTGTAATTTGTTTTATTCTCATTGTATACATTTTTCATATTTCTAATGATAATAATTAATGTTTTCATTAGAATTTTTCATTTGAAGCTTATTTTTATGGTTTGGATGTGTTATTTTTCAATAAGAGATGTCACTTCAAATGAAAATACTAAACAAATCCTGTTTTCTTAATTTAAAATTGCAATCAAAGATCTAGGAAGACGCACAGACAATGTTTGTAAAGTTGGACCAACAAAATTTATTATTCTTTCATAAAGTTTAGAATTTACTTCACGACTTGAAGAACATTTAAAAACAAATTGTTAATTTATAAAGTTTCAACTAATATTTCGGCAAATAAATCATTGCATCTTCATTTTATTTTTCAAAAAGACCGACATGTCTCAAAATCCCCCATGGACCATAATAAATATAATAATTTAAAAGCTAATTTTGTGATTTTCCAATCAATAAATGAATCAAAATAATGTTTATGTCAAACGACTCCAGAATACATTTCTTATGGCTGTATTTTGTATATTGTATAACATTTATTCATTCAAATTTCTTTTATTACATTATAAGGCATGCATAGTTTCTACATAAGAAGAAAAGCGCAAAAATAGATTATACACTTTTTTATGTTTTATACAGTAATAAATGTGCAATTTTAAGTTGTCCATTTGAATCATTGCAATTAGCTTGTACATTCAATAACAAATTGAACTTAAATTTCATAATCATTAGATGTTTTTTACAGCTTTTAATTAAACTTTGTTAGGTGCAATAACAATTTTGGCACGTGAACTGCGAATAATACAGCTCGGTGTAAATTACCGAAGCGCATGATTTGTTTTTATGTGTGTGTCATTTTCTGTGTTTTAATAGAGAAAATTAAAAACCAAACAATTTTCTTGTCCAATCAAATAAAAAAAAATCGATTACGTATGCATGTATAGTGTGTAAGTGTATATATGGTTTCAATTGATGTCTTTTTTTAATGTTTCGATGAATTACATTTTTATAAAAAATATTCAATAAAATTTGGGTGCATTGTAAAAGTTATGTGTGTTGGTTTTGCTTTTTTCATTCATTTTTTGTGTGAAATTCCAATCGATTGAATAGTTTACAATTTAATTTAAATTTTCATATTAGACATTCGTTTAGAATTTGCGGATAAAATCAGTTGATTCAAAAATACAAAAACAAAAAGTTTTCTATTGGTGATTTGTGTTCTCTCTAAGAAAAGTGTTTGCAATTTTTCAAATTGTGTTTTATATTTTGTTTTTCGATTCACTTCATTTTGTTTACAATCAACATGTTTCGTTACAAAATAGCCAATATTTACAGCCAAATTAATTAAAAAAATTTAATTTGCGCACTGAATGTAGTTTTTTCGCTCCCAATTAATATATATTAATATTCTGCTTTGTCATATATTCCACTATTTCTGTTCTTTGCATTTCTTCGTTTTAAAAGTTTGGAATCTGGTTTATTTGTACAGCGCATTCTGCTAAAAAAATATTAAAATCTTTTCTTTAACAAATAAATACATTCGTAGCGATCGATAAAAGTGATTAGAATTTCTCATAGAATTCAACAAAGTTCAACAATGGTTTTTTTTTTTAAAGGAAAACAATATTAAAAATAAGCTGAAAACTATAAAAAAAAAGTTGAACAGCAGAATAGCAATAAATCTTACACGCGTTATTCATAAAATGCGACTAGCTTTTTCACTTTTGTCAATTCATATCCATTCATTCATAGTCATTCGGTTTCATTGAATTTTATTTACTGTATGCGGGTTCCGATTCTTATTGCCATTGGTCAATTCAATGTGATGATTAAATATCTGATAGTCAGTGTATGCTTTTCATTTAACAGATTTGTTTTTTTCTCGGTATTTCATAAAATTTTCCTTGTTGTTATTCTTAAAAATATAAATGTATGCTAAAAACACTTAAAAAGATTTGTGAATAAATAAATGGGCATCAACAAATTCTGTGTCATTTAATTGTATTCACATTGTAAATCGATTTATATTCAGACTCCCGAAGAAAAATAAATTCAATTATACACAATGTGTTTGTGTATTGTTGCGATATTATCAATATTGTTATTATCAAGTGCTCGGAACTCTCCAGTTCACCTTATATTGCTTATATCTCATTTGAATGCTTTGCAGCTATTCTTTAATTGTTCGTTTATATTCTTAAATAATGTCTGCAATTTGAAGATATCCGTATGATGTATTTGATGGAAAGAATATAAATAAAAAATGTCCGTATTTGATTGTATAAAGAAATGAAATACATTTTTTCAATGAAGACTTTCTCAACGTATCAATTTCAAAAAACAACATTTGTGATCGGTATCGACCAGTGGCAACAGAGTGATGATGACGGTTCACAGTTTAGTTGTCGACATATTCAATCGAATCAAAATGTTTTATTCTGAACTCACATAATAACAGGATTGCGAGATGAATTTTGCCGTAAATTTTCCATTTGATTCTTGTTTTGAAATAACAGAACATTTGCAAAATGACGTCTGCAAAATTCATCGCTCAACCGAAAATAAAAAAAATTAGTTTTGCTTACATGGAATATCTATTGTCCATTGTTTTAGCTGATTCAAATCGAGACAATACTGCACAAAAAAAATGTGCAACAAATGCTTCCTATTTAATCCTTTTCACACAAGCCATTTCAAATAAGGAAATTTCGAAAGCTATCGCTGACAACAGCTATTAAACAAGAATATCATGATACGAACGGCTTCTTCTAGAAAGACTAGAAAAGAAAATTTCTCGAGAAACATTCGAAGGATTGGATGGCGACAGTCGATTCAAATGGCCAAACAATAATTATTTTGACAACCATATTTAATACATGTATCAACAGTACTCACGTAAAAACGTCTTAATGCTTTTTTAAGATTGAAAGTTTGGGAATTCTACGAGGACAATCTTGATTCTTGATTCTACGAGGAAAATCTTGCCGTTATTGCGTACATGCGAAAATTCGTTGAAATAGATGCAGATGTTTTATACCGGATGATGTGCGAAACTAAAATAATTCCGTTGGATGATAATGTCTGTCAAGTTACAACGGGTCATATTTGTCAACATAAAGAGTATTATTTTGGTTAAATCTTCAACGTGGAAAAATTCGGTCAAGTGTTTGCACGAACAAACAATTACATTGCCAGGTTTTGATTGCTTTATTGTCACATGTCAAATGGACTTTCAATGTAATATGCGAGTTTTTCGAGAATAATTTCATGGATAAATAGTGTCTCAAATTCAAATATTTATTTATTTAATTGCTAATGGCATTCAACAATTGAATTTAATTCCGAATTTGCTTCGAGAAGTCTGAATATCAATAAATGACACAGAATTTCTCGCTCTTCTTATCCAAGATTTCCATTTTTTTATTTACAGATGCAGAAACACCCTTCATTCAAATTCACGCACATTCGTCTAAGAGTACCATTTATTTATTTTCGATTTCATGCACGTATATCATAGATAATTCATGTAAATATAAATATATCTATAGTTCTGTCTTCAAATGTATTTCATCTTATGATACCCATGCTAAAAATATTCGTCTAGGTCAAGATATAGTTTTATATGTATATATATTTGCTATTGCTAAATATCTTTATATATACGGTATATAGAATTTTTCATAAAACCTAAATAATCTGTGTTTTCTCTCTTTCATAATATGTATAATTTGTGATTAACATATTCATTTTGTTACTAATAATTTGCTATTAATGTTCAGTTTTCAAATTTCGCAAAAATTTGAAAACAACATCTCGTTTTTTTTTTTGCTTGATTGAAAACAAAATGAAAGAAGTCACTAAAGGAGTGACATCGTCACAATTCATCGAATTAAAATCGTAACACGTTTTGCATAATAACAATTAAAATTATGTGTTAAAAATAAACAATTGCAATAAATTTGAACTTTTATGCAAACTCATAAAATCATAAATAAGTAGATAACACCATTCAATTGAAGAATTCAAACTGTTTAACTGTTTACAATTCCAAGGAAGAAAAAAGCACCAATTGTGTATAAATTCTTTTCATTTTAAACATAAATTATGTTTTTTCATTTTTTAACTTGCATTTTTGGTTTTTTGCATTGCTTTTTCAGTCAGAGAATCGATCTCAATGTACATATATATATATATATATATATATATCATTATTGGCCAACAAGCACTGATCGGCCTTTTTCGAGGGGGGGAGGGGATCATTTTAGTTTTTGCTTTGTTTGTTTGTTTCATTTTCCATACACTTTTTAAAACGAAAGGAACTGAATTTATGGTTTATGAACACATCTTCATCGGTTCCATATCTTATCGCAGCCATGTCTTTTTCTTCAATTTGGTACGTAAAGTTCGAGAACGAGATTTTTTCGGTGGTGACGGCGATGACATGTATGAATAAATGTTTTGTTGACCATATTGCTGATTCGAACTACTGTTATAGTAATAGTTTCCATTACCGAACATATGATGATTATTATTGTGGTTAGTGTTATAATTTTGCAAAGGTACATTTTCAACGTAATCAGATGAAGATGGAGGTCGTTTTAAAGGCGAAGACATTGATGACACTTCGGTTGCAAATGACAAAAACGCATCTATACCTTCCTGGTGACGACGAGCTTCTTCTTCTTCACGCGAAATGTCATTTTGACTGTTTGATGAAATGAATTCATTCATTCATTAATTATTCAATTCCAAAATATCAACTGAAATATCTTTACCTTTCTTCACTGCTTTCGTATGCAGCATCAGATGATGTGCCATTACTCATATTATCGATAATGATTTCAGTGCCATGATTATTTAATGTATTAGAATCATATTTTATTTGGACTTGCTGAGGTGCTGTTGGTGGTGAGCTGTTGCCATTAAATTGAACAATCGGTTCATTCACAGTCTGGCCAAAATTAACAATTGTCGATACTGTGTTCCCTGCTGACTTTGTAGTACCACCACCGGCAGAATATGTGTGGTCTTCGCTGGGTTTGGTTGTTATAATAGGCGTTCTATCCAATAAGAAGAAAATAATTTAAATTCGGATACAATCGGATCGTGACGTTTGTGAAACATCGAAACAATTTTGTCAATGAATAAACATTTTTAATAATTTTTTTAGATTTTTCAATTATTTTTAATATCCTTGCAACTCATATCCTTTTTTATGTAATTAAGCTATTTAACGCTTTTCCAAAAAGCAATTAAAAATTACTTCAGCTTACCCAGTTTGAAATGTTTCCGAAAAAATTTTCGGACCATGTTTTAGAGCAAGCATAGCTGTAGCTGCATTCACATCATCTATATTATCCATACCTAAGGGGACAATAAAAAAAAAAAGAATATAATCAACAAATAATCGAAATGATGAAAACATAATAAAAATGAAATGCAATTGTCTGTCCAACGATTGTGTTTTTCTCACGCATACACACACACACAACCACACACACTCCTTCTATCTCACGTACACTTTGTTTGAATCAACATCATTGTTTGGTAATCTCACAGTACATTCTATTATCATGTGAATGATGATAATAGAAATAATCGAAAATGAATCAATAGGAATCAATAAGAATTATTAAGTAATTGAAAAGCAACTTTTAAGTTGATTGCCCCTATTATCCATACCCCAATCACGGGCAATACGTTCAACATTCCGTTGAGCTTCTATTGCATCCATTTCATGATCATGCGCTGTATGATTTGTGTGAATTCCATGTGATGTGGTCACTATCACACTTTCGCCATTTACATGATTATATTCATTATTGATAATCTGGTATTCTTTGTCAGCGATCAAATGCATAACATCGTTGGTATTGTTCGTGGCCGATATTTTAACGCTATTTCCATTTTGTATGTTTGCCATGTATTTAGACAAACGAGGGAACAACTCTGCATCCAATGGCCGTTTACTCGACTGAAATTCACAAATAAAAAGATAAGATCAGCTGTAAATTCGTCACTGAGCAAAGTAATATGGGGAAATTGATTTTGCATTCTAAAATTGGGGAAATGCATACCAAAATCGGAAGAACGAAAACTAAAAATGGAAAAATGCATACCAAAATTGGAAAACGCGCAGGATAAAAATGGAGAAACACTGATCAAAATTGGAAAAATGCATACCAAAGTTAGTAAAAACGCATTCCAAAATTAGGAAAAACGCATTCCAAAAATGGGGAAAACGCATTCCAAAATTGGAAAAATGCCTACCAAAATTGGAAAAATCTAAAAAAATATAACGGAGTCTATACTAACTCCATTATCAACCAAATTCATGTTAAAATACACTATCTGATCGAATAATTAACTTCTTCTTTCTTTTTTTACTGTGTAAAGTTTCGAAAAATGTGAAAAACAAAAAAAAACTGATAAAATTATTGGTGACAGGCATGAGAAGAACTCGTTCAGTTTTTTGTTTCATTCCAAAGTTTGAAATTCATACCCCTTATCTCCTTTTTAATTTAATTCATTCATCTTTCGTTCTACCCAAGTAAGGGAAGAATTTAATTTTATTTGGCTCAGGGTTCGGAAAAAAAGGGAGAGGGGATTTAAAATAGAACACAAGACCTTCATTCGCGCGCTCGCTCAGAAAGAGAGAATGTTGACAACGAATTCATTGAGTTAATCTCATTATCGTATTAAATCAAATATAATAATTATGGATGTCAAATTAAAACATATATATTTTCAGCGCATAGAACAGCAAATTTTTACCGTTATGGCTCTAAGCATTCTATATGTTGTTTAACTCTAAGACCTCTATGTTTTCTTTTAGCGCTCAATAATTTTACTTTTTCGCACACATCTAGTGTGTAAGGTAAAGTACTGGAATCGGTCGGAAAATTAACACCCATAAAAAACGTGTTTCCTGGGTGTTTTCGAAGCCAGGGAATAGAAACCATTAGATTTTTAGCGACTTTGGTTGATGGAGTGAAGTGTCATGTCTGGTGTGATGCCCATGAGAAAAAAACCGAATATGACGTTAGTTTTGCGATACAAATAATTTTCGACACACTTTTCATACAAAAATTTCAAAAAATTGGATTTTTGTATGAAAGCCATGCTTCTATGATATCGTAATGACCTGAAACTTTGCACAGCTTATTTTTTTCACACAAAGATAACATTCCAAGAGTTTGAAGACAGTTCCATACATATTCCGATTCAAAAACGAAAATTTTGTATGGGAAGTACCCCTAATATGCATTGAAATTTCTTCAAACTTTCAGAATGTTATCTTTTTGTGAAAGAAATATGTTTCTTTATATAACCTGTGCAAATTTTCACATGATTACGATATCATATATAGGCATCGCTCCGATACAAAAATTCCCATTTTTAGTAGTTTTTGTACGAAAAGAGCGTCGAAAATTATTTGTATCGCAAAACTAATGTCAGATCCAAATCCCATTTTTTCCGAATCCCAAGCCAAGTTAAATTGAAATAAAAATGGGAGAGAGTGCATAGAATGGAACACAAGACCGAACGAGCGCGCGCGCTCGTTCGGTCTTGTATTCCATTCTAAGCACTCTCTCACATTTTTTCCGGACCCCAAAGCCAAGTTGAAATAAATTATTCCCTTACTTGGCTAGAACGAAAGATGAATGAAATAAATTAAAAATGGGATAAGGGGTATGAATTTCAAACTATTGAGTGAAACAAAAATCCGAAGGTGTTCTCAGTGAGAACTTCTCATGCTTGCCACCATTAAATTAATCAGCTTTTTTTGTTTTTCACCTTTATCGACATGAATTTGGTTGATAATGGAGTTAGTATACACTCCGTTATAATTTTTTGGATTTTTCCAATTTTGGAATGCATTTTTCCTATTTTGGAATGCGTTTTCCCTATTTTTGGAATGCGTTTTTCCTAATTTTGGAATGCGTTTTTACTAATTTTGGTATGCATTTTTCCAAGTTTGATGAACGTTTCTCCAATTTTGGCCTGCGCGTTTTCCAAGTTTGGTATGCATTTTTCCATTTTTAGGTTTCGTTTCTCCGATTTTGGTATGCATTTCCCCAATTTTGTTATGCATTATTCCTACCACCAATAATATAATATTTAATGGAAAAATAGCACTATTGGCTGTCCAAACGTCCAATTTTTTCAAACTCAATTTCGTTAAAAATACCTTGGATGTTGGACTATCTGGTGAAATCGGAGTATTTTTCAATGAAGCTGTGGCTTTCTCCATTGCAGATGTGTTCGGATGATATGATGACCGGGTCAATGCAATTATCAAATTCTGCTTGTATTGTTGTTCAACGCGCCATAATGACCCTTTTCCCATATTCTATCAGAAAAATAAACATGAATTATAGAACATATATGAAAAATGTGTATATAAAAATTGTTTACCGGTGCTTTTTCAACTTTTTGGAAACATTTGTTCAACGATAAGTTATGACGAACACTGTTCTTCCAACCAGTTGGTGCAGTTTTGAAGTAAGGATAATGCTTAACAATCCATGCATAAATTTCTTTGACTGGAAGTGCTTTTTCCTTGGCATCTTCGATGGCTAAGAATATCAACGAACTGAAGCTCAATGGAGGTTTATTATTGGTATGAATGAAAGGATCGTATGGAACGTTATTATTTGATGGCTTGACCTAAACAATAGAAAATTAAAATTGTCCGAAAATGAGAATTCGAAAGTCAAGATTTTTTCAACTTTTATAAAATGAGATTTACTTGATTTTGCGTTGAATTTGGTGATGCTGATGATAATGGAACGGTTGGTTGAGACAATGATATGTCTGTTGGTGAATTTGCTGTTGAATTATTGTTTGAATTCAATAACTTTTGAGGAGCAGCTGGTTGTTGTTGCAATCTAGGACTGCTTATCGGTGTTACATATTCATCTGAATGACGATCGATATCGTTACCATGGTAAATGCGATGGTTTGAATTTGAAACTAAATTTATTGCTGAATGTGGGTATTCATTTTCAACAATAACTGTTTCGTGCTCGTACTTTGCAGTGCTATCAAAGAAACAACAAAATACATAAAATATCGGAAGATTTAAAATAATGGAATGTATTGAAGCCTTCTAAAGTAGTTTGTCTTATTAATTATTCAGAAATAATGGAAAATAACATACCTGAACTCTGGTTTCATGGGTATTGTGTAAATTGCATTCGGTGGTGGTGTTCTAACGGAAACAACAGTCGATGGGGATGAAACTTGTGCTTCTGAATTTGAATTTGTGATTTGCGTTGTGATTAGAGTAGTTTTGGTCTCGGTGCCACTTCCATTCAACGCATTCATAGCCTTAATGTACTTCTTATGGAAGTGCGTATGCGGTGTGGATGTTGTAGTAGACGACGATGTTAATGATTGTGTGCTCAACTTTTGGTGAGTGGAAATGGTTTTTATAACATTAGTTGTGCTATTTGCAGCAAATACCACACCATTATTAGTCGATAGGATCACTGGATTGGCGTTGCTTAATGGAGACGATGTATTTGGTATGAAATTCGACTTTTGCGTTAAACTAGATACAGTTTTATATTCGATAACAGTACTACCACCTGGACTCAAGTGAATAATGGATGAGTTGGTCGATGGTACTTGATTAGCATTAGAAATGGTACGATTTTTGTTGATCGTATTATTATTTGCATCGTCAATATCTTCATTATCAATTGTATCGCTGTCACGTTCTCGTGGTGTCGTTGCAAACGATTTCGGTGTCGTTCTTACTTTTCTATAAATGCTATTTCCTTGCTCTGAACCCGAAATGTTGTCCGAAGTCATTGAAGACACATTGTCTTCCGATACACCCGAATCGTCAACGAAATCACTGGTGGGTGTAGCGGCACCCGAGCTTGGCGATTTACTACTCATTGCTTGCTGTGATTGCGGCTTTATCAATGCGTTGTCAGTTACTATTTTCAAGTGATTATTATTCATGTGCTTAACGTTTGAGGGACACGATATACTATTTATACCTAATTTAAATAAAGTTAAATGAATAAATCTGTTGTTTTTTTGTTTAAATGAAATAACTACAAAATTGATGTGTGAGAAAAGTAACCTTTAAGTAAATTTTTATCATGTAGCCAAGTCAACGAAGTTAATTCTTCATCGGTACCGTTGTTTGATGTGGATGCTGTTTTACGGTTGTGATCGATTTCCATAGATTCGCTTGTAACTAGAACCACTTTAGCGCTGCTTCCATTCTGCTGTCCATTTATATATGGAGTAGTGGTTGAAATTGTGTTTGTGTTCACTGAATCCTTAATGTGATTCTGTTGCAACATTAGCTTCGAAGCTGGCATTTTAGTGCTTAGGAATTGTATGGCCGATTACAAAAATCTATTCGAAGCTGCTTTCGATATGGTTTCTGGTTGCTTAGATGAAAGTTGCATTAAATGCGATTGATATGGATAAATGGTAACCACATAATTACATCAGTGTCCACTCCCAAAAATGATAAAACTTGGCTACAGCTCTATTTGAAAAGAACGAAAATATAGATACATATAAATACATTTTTGCCTATCAATATTGTCTTAAATACATATATTACCATTCTATTTTAAACTGTTTTATAGTGATAAAAAAATAATTTCCTATTGAAATTCATAGGCCATTGATATTGATTTGTTCCATTGAAGCTTGATATATGCCTATTGCTAATCGAACCAATATTAAAGAATTGAGTTGTGAAATGGAAGAAAAACAGGCAACGTAGCAACAGACCAAATGAAAACAAAACCGAACATAATGAATATTGATAGACAACCCTACGCTTTCCATTTCATTCTTTGTTGTGCATGACGAAAAACCAACGGCAACAAATGTTGTTTACTACAATAAAAAAAATGGAACACCTAAATGTGAATCAAATAGTTTATTATGTATAAGTAAGCCTTAATACGAATTGCAAAAGGAATTGGTGTGGCTTTTTTATGTTCTACTCTTCAAATTTCATATATTTTATAGGGGAGAGGTCCGTAGGTTGAAACAGTCACATAATATTTTAAAATATGGCAACTGGTAGCACTGTGGTTTATACTTTCAAGTTGCTGTATTTTTAGCAGCTAACTTTTCATGGTAGACAGACTTACTAACTCCCATTCCTTATGTTTAAGTTAGATCATACCAAAAAATTTGTTGAAAAAATATATTTCGAGAATTTTCCTCAAGTGAAAAATGTCAATTTTCTTTAATGCTAGAAAAATATGAATATGACATTTGCACCACAGTTTTTGGTCCATTTTAATATGCTGAAGGAATTTTGAACATATCTTTGCATCCACAAGAATTTTTGTGTCAGGTAAAAATGGTGACAATGTACGTACGTTGAAACACTCGAAGATCCGTAGGTTGAAACACTATATACCTCTACGTCTTTTAGAGGGAAGTGCATACTTAATTTAAATAAATCAAATGGAACATTCTAGAAGCTCATACTACTATGTTCAATACACAGAAGTCCATGGAATTTTTGTCCGAAATTGGACCCGTTCAGCCAGCTATACCACAGAAAAAATCCAATCGCGGTCGTAGGCGTATGAAGAGCACAGTACTCACATCAATAGAAAATATCGCAAAAGTCAAGGAAAATCGGTAAAAGCGTGAAGATGCGAAAAATAAAAAGAAAGAAAGCACACAAAAGCGAAAACTTTCATCTCAAAAAGAGCTAACCAAAAAGCGAACACAGCCTACACGAGCAGCCACCACAAAGAAGGAATCGTCATCGTCGTCGGATTAAGATGTGGATTTCTGCATGATCTGCATGGAAAACCTGTCAGCCAAATTAACCAAAAACAACTCAATCGAATGCAACAAGTGCCAGCGGCCATTTCATTTAAAGTGCGTTAACATGAAGCTATTTCACGTGCCAAAATTGTGACTCGGATGCCGATCTGTTTGACGAAAATTAATGAAATTTCGATTTTTTTATTCTCTTTTTCATGTTTGAGGCCTTTCTGATAAATAAATGAACAATAAACACTTGATAGCTAGCGTTTTTATTCCATTAATTGCACCCATTTCTCAATTGCAATGTGTGTTTCAACCTACGGACCAAATTTTTTTTTGGAAAAAAATCATGTGGTCGGAAAATTGGTCATAACTTTTTTGTTCTTGAAGTAATTCAATTAATTTCTTCGGCAAAAATGTAGCCAAGAACTTTACCATTTCAACGATATATGACTCTCCGTAATATTTTTTTTTAGTAATTTTTTTTGACTAAAAATCAAAGCCCGTTTCAACCTATGGACCTCTCCCCTATATATTTTTTATAGTATTTCAATAGGTTTATATAAAAAAATAACCACTCTTTGCAAATAACCACTTCACAATTGCAAACGAGAACAGAAGAGCTTATGCGCTTAATAAATGTTTCGGACAAGAATCCATTTAATTTTGATTTTCGTCTTATAAATGTAAAAAACTTTACATACAAGAGCGAATAATCAAATAGTAAAAATAGCATATCTGTGCAACAATTATTGATGTCTCCATCACCGTAAAGAAACGTGGCAATTGTGTCGTGCGCAAAGTCGATGAGTATTTTACATCGCAGACATGCTCAAAATGTTTTGGACGATTGGATCCAAACACCAGAAGCAACCATTTCAAAGTTTGTAAAAATTGTGCACCGGTGCCAAATTCAATCATGGCTAACTTTTTACCATCGAAAATCGTGGCACAGCTCAGCGAACGGCGTTTAAAGTATAACAAAGTTTATATTGAAGAGAGTTTGGCGCTATTTCTGGCACGAGGTGAAAGGACTGAGCATGATTTCGACATTATAGGTGATCGTTTACTGTCTAAGGTGGCCGTGTATTCAAAAAATGGCAAGTAAACGCAGTGACTGGTGTATTGGAATATGCTGACGTCAATGTTGATCAACAACCACATGCAGTTGATGATGAAAATGCAGCAGAAATCGATGGATAGGTCGCTCAACAACCGTATGCAACATCTGATACAATTGTGCATCAGACAACTTTGGATCGTGATATCATGGCCGCTAAATGCATTCTCATCACATTTATGTATATAAGAAATGGATATTTGCATATTATTTACAGATATGGGAAACACCCTAGCTGTACAGTGTGTTTGGTTCGCTACAATACGGCTGAACGAGACTTTATTTTGATTACTGCGCAATTAAACCGCGTTTAACAGTCAGAGTCAATGACGCACTAATGAGCCAGATAGATTTTATCGATATTTGTTATGTAAAATTTGATCAAAAGTGCAAAAATAATCAATCAATGATGCGGCAAAAGAGCTTAGATTGTCGGAGTCGTTTGTTCAGAATGTATACGCCAGATGTATACGGTGTTGCATAAAATATGAAAATATGGATGACATTCACATCATTCATATATGCTATCGCTATAGCGATCTAACAATTTGTAAAAAGGTTTTTTATGATTTTTTGTTAAATCGTATACATGTGGCGAACTTTGAATTTTTTTTTGTTTGCAGTAATTAATCATCGTGAAAACTTGTGAATCTTATTTTCTTGCCAAAATAAATAATCTCACCAAATTTAAAGAAATTTTAATGCGAATAAAGGGTACCTCCCATACAAAAGTCCAAATTTTTTGTGAGTTTTGTATGAAAAGTGCATTGAATATTATTTGTATCGCAAAACTAACGTCATATTCGGATTCCCCGAGCCAAAAAACCCCCCAGTACATATTTTTACAACGAAAAAAACATTTTTTATGAATTTTAAAAATAGTCAAATTTCATCAAAATTTGAAAAAAACATGAATATCGCCTAGGCCTGGCGCGGTGTGAAAATTGATTTTTTTTTAATTTGTCACAATATTCGTGCTCCTATGACCATCCTCAAGAGGTTATGAGGGTATTTTTTTTTGATTATCAAAAAAAAGTCAGAATCGAATCACTCTACTATCCAGTGTCACCAATACATACTACTGGATAGTATGCAATCAAATTGTTAAGTTAACAAAACAACCTATTTGCGTGAACTAGCATTTATTTTTATCTTCGTTTTTCCACAAATATGCAATTTTCTTCACAAGGTTTTAAATAGACTATTATTAAATGGAAAAACCTGCAGGCTTCTATGCATCTGAAGATCTCAAAAAGTGCCTAAAGTAATTCAGCAAAACATCCTGACAGGAATTCGAATTGAAACATTAGCATGAATTTTATTCAGTCGATGTTGTTATGGTTACAAGCAAAACAAAAAAAAAACGTTAATATAAAATTCGTACACAAATTCCAATAAACCGTCACTATGTCGCAAACGACAAACAAAAAAATCTGAACGATGTCATAAATACACTTATACGTATACGTTTCTGTGTCGAATGCGCGTCTCTTCAATCAAATGATAATGGATTGTCGGAACCACGTAACATCGATATGAATTTTTAGTTTTTTATTCATAGTGGTTGCTATGTTTGCCACTTGTCTCAATGTGTGTGTTGTTGTGGATACTTGGACCGAAATATTTCCATTTTTATTGTTGGTACTTGATAGATAGAGAGAGAGAGAGATGTTTACTGAACGTCCTTGAAAATGTAATCCATTTTGTGTACAACTGACACAGTATGTATGACACTGGCTCGAATAAAAAAACGCAAAAATTCAAATGAAGATTGATGAAAAATAAGTAACAATAATATATAACTAACAATTATCCGTACAATTTATATTGGACAACAATGAATGACTTATAACGTAACATAACCATTTCCGAAAAATCACAATAGAATTTAGTTCAATTCATGTCCAAGTCCTTTTGGACGTTTTTTCACTCGCGGAATGATTCCCAATTGAAAATCGAATTCGAGTATTATGGTGAAAATCATAGTTTTAAATAGCTTTGAAACTCGATTTAGTAACATTCAATTGAAATTTCATTAAATTCAGGATAAATTTAAATTTGTATTGCTCTATTATTTAATTAAATAAAAAGGAAAATATTACACACACTAATGTAATCAATAAATTGTATTAACTGTATCAGATTTTTGATAAGCCAAAACAAAATGTATTAAATCACAAACGAATAGTTTTGAAAACGAAAATTTTCCACGGCTTTCGTTAGCACACGCATTTTATTTATTCTCACAAATGTTGCAAAATTACGTTTTTTCGTTTATTTTCTTCTCACACTTACAGCAGTACCTATATTGATACTGAGTCCGAATATGTTACCTTGAATGCAAAAGGTTTGCGTTGTCAATGCGAAAGAGCAGACGACGCGAACTATATGTGTACACTTAAGAAAAACTGCTTACAAACTGAAAATTGTTAGGCACAAAACAAATGCAAATGTGTATGTGGCGCAAGCTCTATCTGTGTCAGTTTCTGTCGTTGCAAAAGCAAGCTTTCGGTACATATTTTCTTTCTTGCTGTTCATATATTTGATAGAACAGCGCTTATATATACAAATCTGCCTTCCGTTGTATAGTCGGCTCTTTTACACACGGTACAATAAATTTAGAATGCCGCATCGTTGGCGCCCATGGAATATATGGGATAAACTGATACAAAAGCAGCACACACAGTTTATTTTACGCAATACTTTTCATGTACGTTTGAATGTTCGAAAAAACGAATACATGTACAGATTTTCGTTTCATTTGATTTTGTATACAAACAAAATCATTCTAAGTGGAAAGGTGTCTGCAATACCAGCAAGCACATGATACGGAAAAAAGGATGTTATACGACCATGGTTGCTATGCTTGCATCGCTACGATGACGGAGACATCCTGAATCTATTACGAAATCAAGCAAATGACGTCATAAACACGCGTTG